AGGTTTAGTGTTTAGGGCTTATAGGGTTTGCTGAGGTTCAGGGCTGGGAGTTCTGTGCTTAATGGAGTCACCGATGGGCTTCTGCAGTTGGCTGCAACCAGAAATCAGCATCTAGGGCACCAGCTTTTTTTTGTTTCTGCTGCGTGGCTGACACTGCAGAGATCTTGTCCAAGTTTCCTGAATCTGCTCAATGCTAGGGTTTTTGAAAAGGAGAGTCTCAATTCAGCTCCTCTCCGTCTGTTACTCAATGCTTAGCTGACTCAGCTTAAATAGCCTGCGATACAGCAGCAGCTTCTGCTTCCTGTGTTTAAGGAACACCCCATAGCCAACATCCAAAGCCGTGAGTGAGTCTCTCAGAACTTGCTGCAGAGGTGGGAGGCTTGCGTGCCGTCGTCGACGAGTTGCGAAGTTGCATCATAAGGCGGCGGTGCAGCTGCTGCCCAGCCAAGACACAGAACCCAAAAATCTGACATTCGGAGGCAGGCTTGAAACGTTTAGACATTTGGATATTCTGTCAAAGCCACGTCAGGAAACCAAGGTTCCTCTCCGGCTCCGGAAAGGGTTGAAAGGTTAGCACGAATCCGGGAAGCTTGTGCACTTAGTCCCGTAACCTTTTCAGGCATCACACAGACCTTGTTGTTTTATTGCCAACATTCTTAAGTCTTCGTTGTTGAATCTTGGCTGATGGTTTGTGTTTTTTTTGGAGACGGAGTGCTCGATTAGTTGCTTCTCATACAAACAGCCTGAGACCCTCGATTTTGCTTGGCCTTGAACCCGGAGCTTGCAGACACTAGATTAGGGTTTAAGTAGGGCTGTTGGGATCACCTAGACCTCCCAACTACCCCTAGTATACCCTAAATAACTACCCGTAACTACCCACTATTGAGGACCATAAGGGTCCTATTAAGGGATACTTGGGAGTTTAGGGATCAGGGCTTGGGGTTTAGGGCCTGGGATACAGCCGCAGCTCAGCAGATTATACCCAGGCTGCGAGAGGCAGTGCAGATGCCGCTGCAGCAACTCGGCTTGTGATCCAGGGTGTACCTGGACCCCAAAAGTATGTAGAATAATAGCCTTTTATAGGCTTTGGGCCATTTTTTTAACCTACTAAGACTGTTGGAGGTCATGTACCATAGGAGGCCAAAAGGGGTTTTAGCACATGCGGGTTTAGTAGGCATTAGGGTTCCCATAATAGGGTTCATATTAAGGAATCCCTACCCCAAGAATCTTCAAAACCCCCCTTTGGCCTCCCATCATGTAGGTTTAATCTTCAGTTTGACGGTTGACTTTACCGTGAGCGTCCATGTAGAGAACAGTAGATGCTTGAGCCTTAAAGGACCAAAGTATACACTATTTGGGTACATGGACCCCCCAGGGCCGTTAGGAGGAGGCCGGTCAGATTTGGAGGTTAAGTTGTGATATACAGGAGCACATAGGAGCTCACCAGACATGTTTGACTGCTTATGTGCGCGTGAAAGGCCAGAGAGTAAAGCTCGTTCTTATTTGCGAGTTGGTACACTGTTCGGAAGTTTGCTTGCCGGTAGTTGCATGCTTAGGGCTACCCAGCTACCCCGCACAGACACGAAAGGGCACTTTAACATAACACGACGGCATACAATCCTAAATTACATGCCCGAGCCACAACTTCCCTTCCCCATATCCTAAAGCCGAAATGCGCTACACTACTACAGCCCTACGCACTACAGCCCAGTTAAACCCCACGACAGGCCCCAATTCGAGCCACCATAATCCTACGGAGTACTATGCATGCCCCAACTCCCCCAATTCCTACACCATCCAATAAAAAAGTCCTGAGACCCTGTGAATCCCGTGGGAGCCCTACCTAAACCTTATGTAAACCCCAAGCCCTAAGCCCCATAACAAGCTTTGTAAAATCACCAAGCCCCAAGCCCTTAAACCCGTAAATCCTAAACCCCCAATGTGCCCCATAACACGCTTCGTAAAATTTCCAAAAAATGGACCCTATACTATCCTACACACAAAGAATCCTATAATCCCAATGACAACAGAGCAAGCTACGTAAAATCTCGGAAAGCGCAAGGCATCCTCAGCTCTATCGCCGCCTCGGGGCGGCGCCGCCCAGGGGAGCAGCTCGGCGAGGGCGTCGTTTTTTGTCTTGGGGTTTACATCGAGGATCATGGGACTTAGTAACCGGGTTTTTTTTTATGGACTTATAAATACCATAATACCATAACACCAATTAGGGTCCCTATTAGGGTACTTATCAGCCTGCTTACTACCTACTTACTAATCCCCCGACCCTCCAAGTAGGGTTTCGGGATTTAGGGTTTAGGGGTTGAGGGTTCCGCTTTCACCATGGTTCTGGAGCTTCAAGACTATTCTCAATCCCTCCCAACGATTGAACCCGCACGCCCTCACGAAGAGGTGCTCCTCTTCGGGCCTCCGGGCACCGGGAAGACGCTTTTGGCGCGAAGTCTAGCCCAAGAGCCTTTTGGACGAATTGTGCATCAATGATATTAAAGAACTACTTAGTAGTTATAGTAGATATTAAAGAAGTAGTAGGTATAAAAAAAAATTTGGAGTTAGGGGTTATACTAACAACAGTAAGAATGGTCGCTTGTCTGGGGTTTTCAGGGCCTCTTCAGGGCTCCCGCGCCGTGGATTTCGGTGGTAGAGCTGTTTTAGATGTTTTCAGGTTTGGGGGCTTTACTACAGCATGGCTTGGGGATTGCTGAGTTCAGGAGTTCGGGCCGGAGCGCAGGATTCCTCATACAGGGTTTAGGGTTTAGGGTTTAGGTGAGTCATACCCTACCTTAACCTACTAGCACCTACTTTTTTTGTAGGGTCCTTGTAAATCCCATATTAGGGTCTACAATAAGAACCTACAAAAATCTAAGGTTTCGTAGGTCCAGGTACACCTTTTTGGCATGCCTAGTTTTCTGGTTAGGATCTGTCATATACAAAAGTAGGTACCCCAAAGAAGGGGGAGGGTATGAGCCTCCAGGTAGGAATGGGTTTAGGGTTTAGGATTTCAGAGATCTGCCCTACTTTGGGACTATCATGGGGCTGTCTGGAAATGGGAAAACCCCAAACGTTAAACCCCGAACCTTGAACTAACTTCTAAACCCTATACAACCTAAATCCGAAAAACTGAAACCCCAAACCCCAAAGTCCTACCCTAAGCCAAACCTGGACCACAAAAGTATGTAGAATAATAGCCTTTTATGGGCTTTGGGACATTTATTTACCTACTTTTGGTGGTCTGGGCAAGACTAAACCCAAGTAGCCCCTAAACCCTAAACCCTACAGATCCCTTTAAGGAACCCTATAGGTCCCTTTAAGGGGCCCTTTAAGGAACCCTACATTACAGTAGCCAAGGCTCCAGTGCCCCTGTGAGCTCCTGGCAGCCACCGATTTCGTGGGCGGCGGCATTGGCGAGTCCGAAGAACGGACCGCCCCACGGGGGATTTAGGGATCAGGATTCAGGGTTTAGGTATGTTAGGGGGATTTAGGGTTTATACTGTAGGGCTTATAGGGTTTATAGGGTGTATACTGTAGGGCTTCTAGCTTTTTATACTGTAGGGCTTATAGGGTTTATACTGTAGGGCTTGCTGTAGGGTTTATAGGGTCTAGGGTCTTAGGATCAAGGCCAGAGGTTAGGGTTTAGGATCTTTTGGATACGTACCAATACCATTTCCTAGAGTTCCTCAGTGTAAGCAAACATGTTGTGACCAAAACCCTGATCTAACTATAGATACTTACTGAGCCCCCTGATCCTTTCAGATTTGGGGTGGGGGGGCTCTCTTGCGGCTTAGAGCGGTGACTCGAGCAAAAAGCTCTCGGGCCCTGCAAAGGATCCGCAGCACATTTGAGATCTGCCGCCAGCAAGCTGCCCAGAACGAAACCGGAGCTCTTCTGCTCCTTGGCAGTTGTCTACGCGGTTTAGGCGTTAGGGTTTAGGTTTAAGGGTTGGGGTGGGGTTTAGGGTTTGGGGTTTAGGGGTTGTTTTTTCAACTGCGGGGACAATTGGGATCTGTTTTTGCAACGGGTCTGTCCAGAGAGTGTATTAGTAGCACCTACTACCGCAATGCCCTGAGCCCCAACCAAAATCTACAACAGAGTTCCAAAAAGTCCTCGAATCCTTCGGGGCACTAATGCCTAGCTGCGAACGACAAGGAGTCCAGATATCTTGAGCCCTCTCAGACCCAGCCGCCATGCCAATGCCATAGCTTGAAAAGTACCTGAAGATCATACACGCCCCGAACTGGGCAACGAGGTGTACACCTTCCTAAAGTGCACTATGAGTCTTGGAGCGTCAGAAAGATGGATGACAAGCTACACTACTTGGCTTGTACGGTGCATCGGCTAGTCTGTCTTCTCCATAGCCTTTCTTATCTAAACCATACTGACAATGCCAACAAAAATACAAGATAACCCCAAGCCCTAAAGCCCTAAGCCCTAAACCCGTAAGCCCTAAACTCTGAGCCCTGAAACCTTGAAACCCTAAACCCCCTAAACCCCATAGCCTTTCTTATATAACCATGCTGACAATTTCAAAAAAAGGGAGGATAACCCCAGAGCCCTGAAACCTCAGGTTCATCGACGAGATCGATGCGGTCTGTCCCAAGCGAGACGACGCGAGCGAAGCCGAGCGAAGGACCGGAACAAGTTCCACGCAGTGTTTTTAGGTTTTAGGGTTTTAGGAGTTTTAGGGTTTAGGAGTTTAGGGGTTCAGGGTTTAGGGTTTCAGGGTTTAGGGGTTTAGGGTTTAGGGTTTAGATTTAGGGGTTTAGGGGTTCAGGGTTCAGGGTTTAGGTTTTCAGCTTCAGTTTTACATCTTTGGTTGGCATTGTCTTCTCGTCACCAGGACCCTTGAGCAGAGACTCCAAGGCCCTTAAATCACGGAATATACCTCAGCTTCAAACAAGGATTCCCTATAAGTGAGTCTAAGTGCAGGATGACGGAAAACACCTCAACTTCAAAGAAGGGATTTCCCATAATTTTAAAGTAAAAGCAGGATGGTCGCCGCTTTCTTAACCGCGCTGGACGGCCCGAAGGGTGGGGATGGCATCGTCGTGCTCGGGGCGGCTCGGCAAGACGAGTGTCGCTGTTAGGGTCAACATTGGGGTTTAGGATTTAGGATGTTGCGGTTAAGTTTAGGATTTATAGGGTTTAGGATTTAAGATTTAGGGTATAGGACTTTGGGTTTAGGGGTTCAGGGTTTAGGGTTGAGGCTTCGGGTTCATTTGGTTTCAGACGCTTCGTGAACATTACAAAAAAACACAAAAAACAGGCGACGAACCGGCCCGATGCCCTGGACCCGGCCATCCGTCGCGCCGGGCGCCTGGAGAGGGAGATCGAGGCGTGCTCCCCGGAGACTCCGAGACCCGTAAATTAAGGGATCAGAAAGGACATAAGCATAAGCAGTTTATAGGGATATCCCTACCTTATTGGGCTTCATTATAAGAGGGTTTATATGGGATGTCCCTATCCTTAATTTTTGTTTATGTGCTTTTTTGGAGCTCTAGTAAATTAAGGGATTAATAGCCTGGGGTTCCTTTATAGAGAATAGGGTCTAGGGTTTAGGGTAGAGGCGTGCTTGGGAACAGTCTGTAATCGAATCTCGTAACACTGTAGGAAGACAAAGTTTGATTTTAAAACATCTGTTCCAAGCATGAACTAGTATAGCTCTGGAACTGAAGCTGTTCTCCCAGAGCCGATGCCCAGTTAATTTGACGCTTCTATCACTCCTTGTCAGGGTTCTCTTTTACGGTCTATGGTCCAGAGTTGTAGGGCCTACTAGGGGACCCCTTCATCAGCAGAATACGTTTTACAGTATTTTGCAGTAGTGTGCTGATTCAGGGCTCTCCGGGGCTGGTTCGGCATCCTGAGGGTTTTTTGGGATTTGGCAGCGCCCGTTACCCGGATGAGCCGAGCCATAAACCTACAATAGGGTTTCGGGTTTAGGATTGAGGGTTCAGGGTTTAGGTTTAGGGTTCAATCCTAAACCCCAAACTGTACGGTCCTGAACCTCAAGCCTTGAGCTCACAAACTCAAAAGCTTCAACTGGCAGGTGGGAGTGCCAAACGCGGAGGACGAGGGTTTTAATTTAAGAATAATATATAGCACAGCAGTATAGTATAGCAGGACCATCCAGGACCCTCTTTGTACCCTTGACATAGGCCCAGGGGTACGTGGCCCCAAGTTGCAGATATTTGGGGTCGAATAGAGGGTACATGGAGGGTCTAGGTACTGTGGTATATGATGAAGAAGATATTGAAAATCCGATGTCATAGCTGCCTTGCCTCTAGGCTGGGCGTTGACGGCTTGAGCCGAGCCCAAACCCTGGAAGCCTTACGCCCCCACACCTTAACTAATTAGATAACTCCGAACTCCAACTTTTCAGATTCGCAGGACCGGACTCAAATCCTCCAGGTGCACCTTGGCAACTGGCTTGCAACGGCAGTGCAAATTTCAAGGCTCTCAATTGTACACTTCATGTGCTATTCTTTTCTGTATATATGATATGCACAGGTTGTTGAGATATTTGGCATTATGACAGCTACTCTGACACTTCTCTTTACAAGGGCTCTCCTGGTTCAAAGTGGTGCGAAGAGCTGTTTCCCAAGACCAACCTCGCGCAACCCTACCGACCAGAGTCCAGGCAAAGTCCGCCACATCCTCAGCGAGGAGGTGCAGCCAGCTACACCAAAGTTTTGAATCAAAAAGAAGCAAGCTTCGCCCCCGTCCCTGCACAGGAGCAGCGGGAGCTCGCACGGAAATGTCATGGCTACGTTGGAGCGGACCGTCTTTCCAGGTTGAGTTCGAAGTGTAGGTCCCTTGAGCCATGCCGTGAATCCTAAGCACAATCCTAAAACCCACAGAAACTCGGCTACTCTTGTGTTGAGAGTGCAGATCTGTACGGCTTGAAAGATTCATGGTGTTAGCATTAGTTTGGGCTTGAAGTTCACCTTCAAGTTGAGAGTCCCCACAGTCGAAGTTGTAAGGAGTCTTCCGGATTGTACCATGAGGCCTGGAAGAGCATGACCCAACATCCCACTTGGAGCATCACGGGACTTAGTAAGCAGGCTCAAAAGTAAGGTAGCTACAGTCCCTTCAACCTCCAAGCAAACCCAAGGGCCCACACTACAGATGTCTTTAAGTTCGATCTAGAACGGCCTTCAATCCGATCTGTATCTGATCACTCTGTACTCTGCAAACACACCGTGCTTGGGCAGGGGGTGTCTTTCCAGTGAAACTCCCGGCTTGTGCAAACTGCTGCCTGCGATAGGATTCAGTTTCTTCTCTTCCACATGACACCAACACATGAGCTTCGAGCGAATCCAACAATCTAGCTATAGCATGAGTACCATCCTTGAGTGCAGGACTTGCGTGCGCTTTGTACCAGCGCCGCACGAAATGCACTGCGTGCCGGAAAGGAGGCGGGAAAGCTCACTTCGTCGCCTTCGACTCAGCCCTATACAAACTCCAATAAGGCTTCAATGAGGCTTGCGAGAGTCTTGCAAGGGTCGAACTTCGCATGCGTGAATCGAGTCATTTTGAAACCGGCTCGAGCTCCGAAATTCACAACTCCAAATCCTAACCGCACCGCAAACCCGAAGCCCTAAACCCTAAACTTCCCTGAAGAAATCCTCTAAACCCTGAACACTTAAACCACACACCCCTAAACCCCTAAACAACACCAAACCCCAAACGCTACAAAGGCCCAAAGCTCTAAAGCCCCCCACCAGGCCGTTGATCTTCAGAGCTGTTTAGCCGCTGCGGGACAGATCCCACCCTCGGCGCTCAAGGCTGATTGCGGGTGCATTTGGCGTTTTAGGGTTTTGTTAAAAATTTACTTTAGGGTTTAGGGTTTTGGGGTTTTGGTGTCGCGGTCTCTGTAAGCTACACTGCTGCGCGTGCCTTTGTCTAGTTGTGTTTGGGTTGGTCGGCTTACAACTTAGTTACTCGTCTTGTTTGTTTGTACGTTTGCTCCATGCTGCTGTGTTGGGGACTTCGAGTTCGAATTTGTGCGTAGCAAGGCAGCCCGGCAGCCCCTACATCCACTCCGAAGGGTTCCCATAGACCAGACTGGCGTAAAACATGCTCCGGAGGTTGTGGGTTTTTGGAGATGAAGGATTTAGGCTTGGCTCGGTGGGACTAAAGAGAAAGTTGCTTTCACAGGATGAAACTCTGCTCCATGCCTCTCAAACCTACATTCTCCTCCGGAATAGAGGCTCTGGACGGGAGTGAAATCCGAACTACACTAAGATAGCCCGCAAAGCCGAAGTCCACGTCCCTCCGACAGTGGCCCAGGAGCTTATGATCGACAAAGTAGCCGTCTAGCGCAACAGTATTGCACAAAGCACGATGCCCCAGAAGCGATTCCCCTGAACCCAAAAAGCTTTAGATGACACCACTGAAGTCCTGAACCCCAAAGCCCAACGACTGAAATCAAGAGCCACTGTCCAAGATCCAAACCTGAAGCCCAAAGCCCTGGGTCCCAGGGCTAGGGTTTAGGGTCCCTGAAGCCCTGAGCTCTTACACTCCTAAACCCTAGAACCCTAAACAACCGAAGACCCTCGGGCCCGAAGCACAAAGCCCTGGAAGCCCCGAACCCCCAGATTTGAAGCAGAGACTTCAAAGAAACGCCTATCAGCCGTTAGCCCTGAACTCTAAACCTTAAACCCCCAAACTTCTGAGCCCCCAAAACCCTGAGCCCTAAACCCCGAAACCCTGAACCCCAGACCCTAAAGTCCAGACTTCCCATCACAGGAACTCCTCGTCGAAGTCCCCCACGTACGATGGGAGGAGCCTCCTCCTTCTCAGGGTTTGTGGGGCAAGGTTTAGGGTTTACCATGGACCCCAAAGGTTTGCAGAATAATCGCCTTGTATAGGTATTGGGCCATTCTTCTACCTATGCTTTTGGGGGGTTTGAGTAGTGTGTTCCAGGTCTAGGGTTTGGGTTTGTAGGTATTTTCTTGCAGCGCAACAAACTATGTTTTGTGGTTTCTTGTTTTGAGTTCCTTACATATTCGGGCTATGGGGAAACAGCTATTTTGGATTATCTTGGTATGTCCAATTGGCGTTTAGGGTATGTAAAGGGGCATGAGGGCACAAAGCCGCGATTGATTTCAGTGCTCGAGCTTCCGATCGGAAGAGGGCGGCACTGTTTCGGATAAGCTGGGGTGAGATTTCCTGGCCTCGGTCTATGGCCTTCGGGTTCGAAGCGCAACTTTCGCGAGGAGCTAGGTTTCGTTCGGGGCTAGCCTTCAGCGTTGCATAATTAGAAGCCCCACTGGCAGATATGCACTTTAGTCAATTGTGCTAAAATCCCGGAGAGCAGGTTTCGAATAAGCGAAGCTGCATGCCCACACCCAGGGGTCGAGCACCCAAGAGGACATCGGGGGCTACCACTCCACCAAAGAAGCGCTCAAAGAGGCCGTGGAGTGGCCCATGTGCCTCGACAGCTGGAAAGGTCATAGGGACCCTTAGGGGGGTAGGGGGGTAGGGGACTGTACTTCCTTAAATGGGCCTTGCTAGGTCCAGGCATTAATACCCCCCCTCCCCCTACCCCCCTAAGAGTCCCTATGAAAAGGTCTTCAGAGGCACTCACTTTCGCACAGACTAAGACCAACCCGGATCCCTTTCAGGGATACCGTACCCGCCAGATATGTATCTGGGCCAAGGGATTCAAAAACTTAGGATAGGGCGGGTTCTGGTTCAGGCTGCGTCAGGTGGTCCATGTATTCAAAAAGTATGTACCTTGGTTCCACAGGCCAGGGCTCCTCTTTGTCGGCACCAGGTCCCGATTTACACTGCTAGTTGAAGATTCCGACCTGGGGTTTAGGTTGGGTACGGCCCCCACTCAGTAATAGTTTGTTCATAATAATATAGATATAGTAGGACCTTGATAATAGCCCTATTATAGACTCTTACTGTATGGGGGCCGTACCTAAGGTTTAGGATTCAGTGTTTTGGTTGGAATGCTTAGGGTTTAGTGCTTAGGCTGCAACCCTGGACTCAGGCGATACGCCTGGGCTTTTGAGGCCATGCGCATGGAGGCCAGGCCCCGTCCTGTCTAAACAGGGCCCAAAAGAGCAAGACTATAGTCTCCTTGGGAACTATTTTGCATTTTTGTTCATAGAAAACCCAAGAGAATATTAAACATGTTATTTGTATTATGGTTCTAAGGGTGAGCAAGAAGAGAGAAAGAGAGAGAGAGAGAGAGAGAGATCTTTGCTTTAAGATTTCGGGCTTAGGTCCTAAACCCTGAGCTTAGGGCGACATATTTGGTTTCAGAGCTAATTGGGTAGTTCTCTAGATAAGTGTCCCTTGCAGGGGCCTTTTTTTACAATGCCGCCTTCTGTGGCGCTCCTAAAACAAGACCTATAGGCCCTAGCTTAGAGAACTGCCCAAGCAGATCCTGCTCAATTGAACTTCCCAAAAGGCCGGTTCTTGCGGGCCTTGGAGGGGCAACGGTTTGGGGCATGAAGCTCTTAGAAGTCCCTCAGTGAAGGATTATACGTTTTCAACTGCAGCAAGTACTGCTCCTTGGAAAACAAGGTTTGGGGTTCCTTCTGCGCGTTGACAGGATAACCGTCGATCGAAAGCCCGTCTTTCCTCTCTCTCTCTCTCTCTCTTGCTCTCTCTCTGTCTATGGCCTCCGAATTAAGTAGTGCCCCTGGCGATCGTCGGGTCCAAGCCCAGTAACCTAAAGCTTAACCAGTCCGGGAAATCCGAAGTCAACAGTTGCAAAGATTTGGGATTTGGTAAGGTCGACACGAGAGCATGTCGCACTCTTACATCCAATTTCGGCACGAAGCCCCCAAACCTTAAACTTGTGAAGGCCTCGCCCCTACCCCGCTACACCCCCGTTTAGCTGAAACTAGAGGATCTTATTTGAACAACTACCGAAACCCCCAAAAGCAGGTGGAAAAATTACCCAATACCTATAAAAGGCTGTCATTCTCCCATTTTCTGGGGTCCAGGTAGACCTTTGAGACCTTCGAAGGCCCCCAAAGGCGTGCTGCTCTACGGCCCGCCGGGATGCTCCAAGACCATGCCGCTCAGACTGCACATCGTCTTTCATTTGGGAGTTTCCGAAAATAGGGGACCCCAATATAGTACCCTAAATAGTAGGATCCTTATTATGAGGACCCCAAAATGAGGTACCCCTAATTTTCGGAAACTCCCATTTCGAGGATTAGCCTTATTCCCTCTTTCGAGGATCATTACACTTAGTAATCAGGGTTATACGTAATGCCGCTCAGACTTCACATTGTCTTATCCTTAGGAGCTGAGTAGGTAACCTTCTACCTTTTGGGGATTACCCATAGGCTCTGTTGTAGTTCCTTGTTTGTGGTTCACATTTAGAACCCCATAAAGCAATCCCAAGAAGGAACTACTATGAAGCCTTTGGTTAAACCCTACTATGACTGAAAAGGTTAACCTTTTTTGGGCCAGGGTACTCACCCCTAAAAGATCTTCGGGCTTCAGGATCTTTTAGGAGTAGTTAAAGTACTTACAGGATCAAGGGGCTTAGTAAGTAGGGTGAAAAGCAAAGTAACTATGGTTAGATCTATACATAATCACAATTAAGGTACTTAGAACCCTACTTACTAAGTCCCATGATCCTCTGCCGTTATACAAGTTATAGGGCTTTAGCAGCAAAGAAGCACCAGTAGCAGAAAAGCCTTATACCCGAGACTTTACAAACCCTAAACCTTTATCCCGAGACCCTGAACCCTAAATCTCAAACCTAAAGTAGCTTCAAAACTGACCCTAACGCCTCGTAATATAGGGGCCTAAATAATTGCCTATATACTGTTTTGGGGGTTCCTTATGATAATTATAGCAGAGGGGGCCCCAAAACCCTGTTCTAATTATTAAGGCCCCTATTTGATTGGTCCTTCCGAGGATGGCTAAAGCAGTGGCGACGGAGACGGAGATGAACTTCATCTCGATCAAGGCCATGGACTATCTTGTTTAGGGTTTGGGGTTGGGGAACCCGCAATCGTAACCCTCGTAGAGGAGCCCTGAAAGCAACCCTTATAGCAGCCGCGTAAGAACCCCTATTCGACCCTGATGTAGACCCCTGATTAATTATGACAATAGAGATTAAAGTAGGGATCGTAGCGTTAGGGCCTTTCCAGAGGTGCGGTTATTAATCAGCCATCTGCAGCAGGGATCCGTTTGTAGTTTTTTGTCTGTCGTCTAGGTGTCTTTACAGTTTTTTTCCTTTTTTTTACGGGGTCCATTGCAAACGATTACAAAGGAGGTCCCTTGTTGTTTCCCTTCTGTAGAAGCCCTGACGGCTCCTTCGGGTTGGGATAGAGGTCTCGGCTTTCGGGCTTTAGGGGTTTAGGGTTTAGGGTTTAAGGGTTTAGGGTTTAGGGTCGTATAGGAGGGTTCAGGGTTGAGGGTTTAGGGTCCAGCAGGGGGGTTTAGGGTGCAGGGTTTCGGGGTTGGGGTACAGGGTTTTGGGCTTCCGCAGAGTTCCAGGCTTTGTGAGAGAGCACAGAAGAGTTTCAAGTCGACCTCACGTGCTGTGAAGGCATTATCACATGGATGCACGGCATGAGGGTTTGGAGATACAGTAAGCTTTCTTTGCCTTTGCTAAACGTCGAATCCTTGACTAGGGAGTAGAACTGAACTGAACGACATCTTGCTGGCAATGTTTCGTCGCACATTCGGGGAGGAAGGTGGCCAAGCCCTGACGCTAAACAAAAACCCGCAAACAACGCATACCTATGAGGTCTCATCCCATCCCGGGAAGGCGAGTCATTTACCCGCAGAGCCCTTAGCAACCCTGCCTTAACCGTGAATATCCTACTTTTTCAGGGCTCCTTATTATGATTTCCTTACATGAGCCCTTAAAAAGGTAGGTCCTTCAGGGTTAAGGTGAAGTCTTACACTACACCCGCTTGGCCAAAGTCCTGAAGCCTTTCGCCAGGGACCGGAGCTCTTCTCAAAGTACGTGGGTGACAGCGAGCGGGCCGTGCGGGATGTCTTCCGAAAGGCCTAGGGTTCAGAGTTTAGGGGTTCAGGGGTTTAGGGTTGAGGTCGAGGGTTTAGGGGTTCGGGGTGCAGGGTCTATCCATAGCCAATTTGTTGCGAGGTCTTGAATTGCTACAAGCCCCAATCCAGACATGAGGGACCCTGCGAGGGACCCTGCGAGCAGGGTCTTGCTGAGGGATCCTTGAATGACGACATGAGGGCAGCAGCAGCCCCAAAAGGACCCGAACAAAACCCTGAGGGTTTACGCTTTAGGGTGGGGCATCCCCACTGTACTGGCTTAACATGAGGATTCTGGGATGGTTCTGTTTAGGCGTTTTGTTGGGTCCATAGCAGAGCATATGGAAGACTTACGGTTCGGGATGTAGGGTTTGGGGCTAGGGTTTCGGAGGGCTTCAGCCGCAGGAGTGTCTTGAAGACCCACCTCGAACCCCCAAATCAGCTGAAAGCAAAACCACAAAACCGTTTACTCGAAGGAGTACTATACGTGCCTTAATCAACAGAATAGGGTTTTGGGGCTGCAGTCATGTTGAGGAAACCTGTAAAAACAATAATTTGAGACATGATTCAAGCTTATGATGTACTAAGCAGGTCTTGCTCGGGCAATCCTGCTTGTGACGGTACCGGTACCTTTACCAGATCTACACGTTCTGTCATCCCTACACCCTTAATAAGCTTAAGGGTTCAGTGAATCATTGACCTTGTTTTCGGTGCCCAAACAGCCCCGAAAGTCCGAGTGTAAGTGGTGGTACTTGGACCCTTCGGGTAGACCTCACTGGCGACAGCCAAACCAAGCGAAGGCGCGGACAGCAGCGCCATGCGTCGTCTTCTTCGACGAGGCAGTTTCGGGTTTTAAGGCGTAGAGTTTCAGTGTTTAGGGTTTAGAGAATCAGGGGGTGGGTTCCAGGTTGTAATTCTACTATCATGGGTTCCAAAACTTCTAATTATTCAGGCCCCTATATTACCTCAACCCAGAGAGCCCAATACCCCTTCATTAAGGAATATGGGTTAAATCTATAGCGCTTCATAATATGCTTTAAGCTTTTTTCCTTAATTCAGGGGTATTGGGCTCTCTGGGAAGCCGCCACTCCACTTTTGCCCGAAAACGCACAACAAAAACAGAGACCCAGCTCCTCCATCTCCACCCTGTTCGACGGGGAAACACCTACTTCTGTTGGTGATACAAATCCTGCATTACCCTACGGACCCTAAACTATGGGGAATTATGGTATATTCTGTTCCTAATTATGGGTAATGCAGGATTCTTATCATCAACCGTTTCACCTACTGCGAGGGACAAAACCAACCTAAAATGGCCCCAGTACCTATGAAAAGGCGAGTACTCTACATACTTGCTCGGTCCGGGTACTGATGTTCATACAGTTTAGGGCTTCGGGTATCACCTACTAAGAGGATTTAGGGTTTAGGGTTAAGACCCACGATTTGGGACCACGAGCCCCTCTTTGAGGGTGCCGGGAGAGTCCTGGTAGGTCGATGCGCTTGGCGCCAGCCGCGAGAGCGAGGGAGGAGGCGTCTCCTCGCGGGTTCTGGCGCAGCTTTTGGCGGAGATGGACGGGAGACTTTACAGAGATGGTCTGGGTTGGAGTTTCTGAAACCCTAAACCCTAAAGCCTTAAATCCTGAAAACCTAAACACCGAAACCCTAAACCTTAAAACCTTCATCCTGAACCCTAAAGCCCTACATCCTAAACACCTGAAGCCGAAACGGTGGGATCTCAGAAGTTTAGGGTTCAGCGGTGTGAGTGCAGCTTCAGTGAGCAGCAGCCGGCATGAGCTTAGTTAGCTTAGTTTGTGGCCAGCAGTACACCTGGACAGTACAAAGGCTGCCGTTTCGAGGACATTATTAACATACGATGTGTGTGTGCGTGTGTGCACATATCTATATGTATGTAAATGTGTGTATATATTTATATGTCACATACATATGTACAGATACACACATATGCATATATGCATGTATATATCTGTATGTATATAAAAGGAATTCACACAACAAGGAGTGCTAAAGAGGTGGGTCTTATGGTCCGGTAGGGTTCAAGAACCACCTGCCGGCATAAGTTAGACCCTAAAGAAGCACCCAAACATAAACTGTCGAGACGAATATTCCTGCCTTGTTGGCCTTCCTTAGAGTGGATTCTGGAATATGCCACACGTACTGTCCGTGTTTAGGTGCCGTTCCGGCTCCTAACCAGACTATGGAGATTGGATTCGCCAAACTTGTCACAGCCGATGACCTCTAGCTGAAACTCTAAAACCTAAACCCATTTGCATCACAGCCTGACTCTTCCTAAACCCTAAGCCCAAATATGTCATAGTGTAGATATCAAACATTATGTACTACATATTGTAAGATTCCACAGAAGGCCACAAACCCCAACTTACAGGATCATGGGACTTAGTAAGCAGGGTTATGCCTTAGGTATGACTATAGCTTCCTTACTTATAACCCTACTTACTAAGTCCCATGACCCTCTAAGTACATCCTGAATCGCTGAACCCACCTGAGGATTGGTGCCGCGACAGCTGGCAGCACCACGCGGCATGTGGTGGCTCCTGGATTGAACAAAAGAGGGAGTGTTTAGGGTTTGACAGCTTAGAGTGCTTTTTGCCACTTGGAGGATAGTGGGACTTAGTAAGTAGTGTTATAAGTAAGGTAACTACAGTTATATCTGCTTATAGCCTTAATTAAGGTGTTTATAACCTTACTTACTAAGTCCCATGATCCTCCAAGTAAGAGGGAGTGATCCAATACATATTTGTAGTTGGCTATACCGAAGTGTCGCAGTTTTCTCAACATCCAAGAAGCTAAGTCCAAGATTAGGTACTTCGGGTGAGTTGCTGGACTTGGGAGGCTTGGGGGGCATACGAACTGTGGTTAATTGTGCACCTGTGATACTAACCCCCCTGCCGTTTATGGTATATTTAGCAGGCATTGGAAGACCAGATTGAGGATTGAGTGGGATGCCGTGTTGGAACAAGGCAAGTGCCGACAGCAGCATTTTGCGGTTCCATTTTGCTTCCCCTGATCGATCCACTCCGATTCCCAAATGGCACGCCTTGTCGCTGCGGTGCAGCGGCAGAAAAAGCAGCGTTGGGAAGGGCTTTGTCGGTTTAGGGTTTAGGGGTTATCTACCTTTCAATTGGTGGCTCTTGGATTGGAACTAAGAGGGGGCGATCCAGTCCACTACCGAAGCCTCGACCTTATTCTGAAATTTCCAGCGGCCAGTTTTACTCCATTTTTCTCGGGTCTTGCAAACCCTGAACCCTAGCTCCAACCCTTAAGACCGCAAACCCCAAAACCCAGCCCCAACCCCTACACCCCTAAACGCCCAAATCGCTTTCTTGCGAAAGAACCACAGGTAAACCCTAAACCCTAGGCCATAAACCCCTAAACCCTAAACCCCTATACATCCCTCAAAGGAACCTTATAATACTCTTTAAAGGAAGCCTTATATTACCCTTTAGAGGAGCCCCTAAACTCCTATATAAACCCTCGACCCCACCAAACCTTAAAAAAGAAGAAAGAGAAAACCCCACTAAACCCTAAACCCCACTAAACCCTTAAAACAAAGGGAAAACCCCACTAAACCCTAAAAAGCAGAGACAAAAGAACCACAGGTCCTCGGGGCGACAAACCGGCCGCAAGCCTTGGACTCCGCTTTGGTGCGCCCAGGACGCTCCTTGTCGGAAGGCTAGGGTTTAGGGTTTAGGGTTTAGGGTAGGGTTGAGGGTCTAGGGTTTATAGGGTTTTGGGTTTATAGGGTTTAACGATTAGAGTTTGCTTAAAAGGGGTCTCTGTTGTTTTTTGTACAATTAGCGGTTTATGGGGGGCCCTAACAGTCAGAATGATACAGGTCATTAATGGGCTTCTATATAGAGGACAGCTTCATACATGTACTACCGGCAACGCTTGCCATCGCCACTTCTTTTCCCCAAGCCCTAGGTCCTAAACTCTACTTCCTGGCACAAGCAGCTTAAGCCTTACGATTCGTGGCAAGCTGATCTGAGAGTCTTCGGAGGCCGCAATTGGCTGCATGAAAGCATCTAGAATCTAGGACGACGGATCGCTTATGTAAGGACCTTTCTTAGGTATGACCCTAAACCCTCAGCCCTGGGACCTTACGAATTAGAACAGGGTTTTGGGGCCTGTTATACTATAACTATTGTAAGGAACCACCAAAATAGTATAGGTAATTATCAAGGCACCTAAATCAATCCTTGTTATGGTAGCCCTTGTAGACCCGTTTAAAGGAAACCTATTCTAATAGTATAGGTCATTATTCAAGCCCTTGTATTAAACTCTTGTAGTGGCCCTCATTCTGATAGTATGGGTAATTATTAAGGCCCCTTCACTAAACCATCCCACCTTTGGAGCTTCTTGGAGTCTCGCAGGTATTGGGAGTTTCCGAAACTAGAGACCTTAGTATAGCACCCGAAATAGTAGGATCCTTATTAGAAGGCCCCCAAAACAAGGTACCCCTAATTTTCGGAAACTCTAAACCCTTTTCTTTAAATAGAACCCTTATCGATCCCTTAAGGAACTCCTGCAGATCCCTTTAAGGAAACTCCCATTTGCAGTTCGTTGCAGAAGGAGGGTTTGGAGATTGGAGTTTAGAGTCCTAGGGTTGCTTTACAAGGGAACTTTGGGTTCTTTTTTAAAGGGGTTTAGGGTTTCAGGGCTTTAGGTTTGAGGGTTTAGGGTCTATAGGATTTAGGGTTTAGGGTTGTAGGCTTAGGCGTTAGACCCGCCCTCGCCGTGCTGCCTCATCCTGGGTAGATCTTTCACCAAGGGTCCTCTTCCGGGTCACCAAAGTAGTAGGGCACCCTTATGAAAAGAGCTTATAATTCCCTGATAGAAACTCTAAGTAAACCCTTTCAGATCACTTTACGGAACCCTGAAAGGGATCCGAATTTGGAGAGCTACCTTCCTGTCAAAGTGTCGCTTAGCCGAGGCTTCGATCGCCTGGTTCACGTGCCGCTGCCTGTCCCTGGCCTGTTTCGAAGTTGGCAACCCTAAACCCTAAATCGGCCGAAACCCTAAACCCTAAACTCTCGAGTATCCAAAATACGTTTGAAAAATGGACATGACCTTAACACAAACTGCACATGTACAGTTGTTAAAGGTACCTCGCTTACCCTAGGTTTGGTTTTGAACAGGCTCAGAACCATTCCAAACAGTACTCACTTCAGGCAGCTCTACGACCACATTCGTAACTGTAGCTGCGTTTGGTTTGTTGGCTACCTTGGTTTCCCAGAGAACCCAATGCCCCGTGATTAAGGAATATGGCTTACATTTGCTATGTAGCTTCATATTATGATTTAAGCTATATTGCTTAATTAAGGGGTGTTGGGCTCTCTGGGTAATGCAGGATTTTTATCATCAACAGTAGGGCCTCCGGGCGCTTGGTACTCGCCTTCTGACCTCGGATTGGTTCAGCATTACCGGGAAGCTCTATTTGGGAGTTTCCGAAAATTAGGGGTACCTTATTTGGGTGGTCCTTATAATAAGGATCCTATCATTATTTAGGGTACTATATTAGGGTCCCCTATTTTCGGAAACTCCTATATCTTAGGACCCAGAGTAAGCCCTTATTCCCTGTTTTAGAGTTCAAGTTTCCTTATAACCTCCTTTAAATCAACAAAGGGCACCCTTTTTATTCCTGGGTCGCTCTTCGGTCTAGTATCTCAAGGCTCGGGTGTGGAGTTCTTGCAGGTTTTCCAGCCTGAACCTTAAACAGAGAGGGTTTCGAGTTCCCAAGGCTGAGAATGCACGGCTCCCTTGCATTGCGATTCATTGCCATCTGTCTAGACGCCGTAGCTGGAATCCTAAAAGCTCCCTGCGATCATGTGCTTTGCTGATCCTGATTCACCTATTTTGAGTGCTGGGCATAGCAATAGGTTCAGCAGCCTGAAGTTTAAGCTTTCTGATTTAAAACACCCTACAACAAATAAAATGGTAACAGTTAACCTTAATAGAACCTAAACCTTAAAAACCTTAAACCCCTGAACCTTTAGCTCTAAACGATTGAACCCCAAACGGCTAACATTTCTGGGCCCGGGAACTCAGAAACTAATGTAGGAACCTGATTAGGCAACCTAGGGCCTATTACCCCAAAATAGTAGGGCTCATATGAGGAGACCTAACAAAGGCCCAAGGTTTCGGCATCAGGTTCCTAGATTAGAGGCACCAAAACTCATAGGGACGCATAAGGGGGGTAGGGGGGAGGGGTGTAGCGGACTATACTTCCTCAAATATGCCTCATTATTAAGTCCTGATTACAGGTATGAAGGCCCACAACCCAGCCCCCCCTACCCCAACGTTACATTTTGGCCTTAAATATTGGCTCTATCTTAGACAGTTTGAACTTTTTGGGGCCCGGTTGTTGAAGAAGAGCTAAGGGTCCTTATGATATACCTTAAACCCTAAGGCCGCACTAAGAGCTTCCGGGGGCCCAGGATGCAGATGCCCGGCTTGCCATCTTCGAACGACAGCGCCTCGCCGATCTACGAAGGGAGCTCAATACCCCTGGGGTTTAGGGTTTGAGGGTTTAGGGTTCAGAGGTAAGACTCCCCTCATATGAGGAGCACACCTTAACATCTCATGGTTCGAGGCATGCTCCTTAACCCAGAGAGCCCAATACCCCTTAATTAAGGAATATAGGTTAAATCATAACGTGAGGCCCTACATACATGATATTTCCTTAAGGAAGGGGTATTGGGCTCTCTGGGAAGTTCTAAGCCCTAAAAACAACGGTTTCGGAGTTGCTGGGATCGTCAGACTTGGTGCCCAGGCAACTCGATAATGGGGGCGGGATAACGAACAGGAGAGGGTTTAGCAGTCTATTATGGTAGGGTTTAGGGTTTTGTGATCTATTATATTCTGTTTGTAAGACGGCGAGGATTCTGTTAGTAAGGAGCCATGAGGAAAGATACTTATTCGGGCTTCCACATTAGCCCCGGATTTCAGCAGCGTATCTAGGGATCTTTTTTGTGTTTTGATTGAGAACCCCGATTAGAGTAAAAGTATACTATAACCCCAAACCCTATTCTAATTGTTACGGCCCCTACATGACATTACGTAGACTCTGTAGCTGCGTACGTCTTCGAAGGGCTCACCCATTTCAATAGGGTGCTCCAAAGGCACTTAGTTTATGAATATGCCTCTAAAATCATAGTTTATGAATATGCCTTTAAAATCATAGTAGGGATCCTATTATGATTGAAGGAGAATTCCTTAATGAAAGGATTTTGGAGTCTCTGGGTTCAGAGATCACAAACGCAGAGGGAAGGAAGGCAGGGCATGAAACGACTAGCCAGAGGTTTAGGGGTCTAGGGTTTAGGGGTTTGGCGGTTTAGGGGTTTAGGGTTTAAAGCGCCATTGCACGCAGAAGGGCTATTGTCAATGAGGCTTTCTTGCGAATCATCTGTAGAAGAAGGAGCTTGCAGCACTTCTGGACGCCCGACATGGGCCGGAATATGAAACGGGCCATCGAACTGGACACATCACCGATAAAGCACTACAGCTTGCCGGCTGAACTTGCATCCATAATCCCCTAAACGCTACTACACCCTAGAAGCCCTAAACGCTAAACCCCAAACCTAAATACTACAACCCTGCACACACTAAAACTCTAAGCCCTGAGCCCTAAAGCCCTCAACCCAAACTCTTGATGACCTCACCCAATCTTTAGGCTGTCGCGCATGCGTGCAGCGCCCGATGTATTGGCCTCCTCTTTGGCCGGAGGGGGGGGCTAGGGTTTTGAGGTTTAGGTTTGAAGAGGGTTCATATTTGGATACTTGGAGGTTCTTGGAAGTTGGGGACTGTTCTCAAGCTCCTTCTAAGTGACCTTGGGTTTGGGGGTATAGGGTTGAGAGTTCTAGGACTTGGCCCACATCAGCGTCACTTGTTTCGGAGATGGCCAGTACCGGCGTTATTATATGCCTGCACTCCAGGGCTCGAAAAAGTTTGTAAGTCAGACGGCTGCGTTCTTGTTGAAACCCTCAGCTGTCTTCACCAAAACAAAGGACAACTTGAAGCCGACAGTTCGAGAGTATTGTGTAGCGCCAAGGGCACAGTTCAGAGTGTATATACAGTAGAAGCCAGAAAGTTGGAACATCACTACCCTCATGCCCTTAAGGTAAAGTACAAGGGATCCTAGCACTAATCCTCCTAAAGTCATGTTCCAACTTTCTGGCTTCTACTGTAGAGTTTCGGAGGTACAAAAACATGTCGAGTCGAAGCTGTCACGGGTCGAGGTCATTTTGGCAATCACGTTTATGGGGTTTGGGATTTGGGCCACGGCATTTGGGGATGTAGGGTTTTAAGTTATCCGCCCTTCTCAGAGACTCCAAAGCCTCCTTAATTGCGGAATATACACTAAATCATAATATTAAGGATCCTATTGTAATTTAAGGGTTTAAGGGATATGAATGCCTTAATTAAGGAATAGATCCTAAATCATAATGATAGGGATCCTATTACATTTTAAGGGAGACCCCTTGAGCAACCGACCCAGAAGCCGAGAAGCAGCGTCACCTCCTTCACCAAGTAGCCAAGCCCCCAAAATGGGGGGGGGGGGTTCCGAGAAAAGGGGACCCTTATATCCTGAGCCTCAAAAGCCCAAACCCTAAAACCCTAAAGTTCTGAACTCTGGGTCCTAAGACATAGGAGTTTCCGACAATAGGGGACCCTTATATAGTACCCTAGATGGTAGGAACCTTATTATAAGGAGCCCAAAATAAGGTGCCCCTGATTCTCGGAAACTCCCACATGGACCCCTAAACCCCCAAACCCTAACCCTGGAAGCCCAAAACCCTAAAATCCTAAGCCTCAAAAGCCCAAGCCCCAAAACCCTAAAGCCCTGAACCAAAAAACAAAAATCCCTAAAGCTGCCCTAAAACCTGAAAGCCGCAGGGCTATGCCCTACAACTCTAAAGCCCTAAACCGTGGTTTTTCGTTCCCAAGCCATCTCCCCACAGGTCCCACAAACGGCAGGCTACAGCGGCGCTGAGGTTCCACACGACACAGTTCTTGAAGAGTTTAGCTCAACCCCAAACCCGGAAGCCCTGAACCGGTCTAAGGGTTTAGGGTCAAAGTCTCTAAACCCTATAAACCCCGTAAAAATCCCTAAACCTTAAACCCTAAACCCCTAAACCCCTAACCCCTGAACCCCTAAACCCCTAAACCCCTAAACCCCTAAATCATAAACCCTAAAAGCCCTAATTCCGAAACCGGTGGAAACTTGGGGCTTGGAAGCGCTTTAGTTGAAGAGCGACAGCGAGTTGCGGACATTCCAAGCGCCCCTGAGCCCGGATGCTTAATCCCTGAATCCCAAAGCTGAAGACCTGGCCCCTAGTTAGTGTATGGGAGTTTCCGAAAAGTAGGGGTACCTCATTTTGGGGTCCTTATAGTAAGGATCCTACTTTTGGGGGTACCAGATGAGGGTTACCTATTTTCGGAACACTCCCGTATCAGGGGACCTGACAAAGTTAGTAGGTATAGAAGAAGCATTTGCGAGAAGCCTATATATCCGACTTGCAACTCTACTTCTCAGGTTTCAGTCGCTTCAGTTGCCTGCTTTCATCCTGGGCTTCGGAGTACCATACTCCAATACTTTTTTCTTAAAGGAACCCCTAAAACCCTAAACCCTAAACCCATCCTGAAATAAACGTCTATAAGTTTTTTCTCCTTGGATACTCAAAAAAGCCCGGCACTTCCAGGTGGTCATGGTATGCCGTGAGGCAGCACTCTTGGCCATCCGCGAAGCTTTGGGCGCCAAGAAAGAGGCTCGCGGCAGTTTGGGGTAAAGGTTTGATAATGGGTTTAGGGTGTCTAATGTTTAGGGTTTGGGGGTTTGGGGTTTAGGGGTCTCGGGGGTTAGGGTTTGAGATTGAGAGTGCTGTAGGATTTTTGCAGGGGGTTGTGAGGGCGCATGAAGTGTTGAGGGCACAGGTTTTGTTTTGGAATGTAGGGTTTGGGATTTCAGTTTTGGGGCTTGTCACTACTGCTTCCACTGCTGCTACTACTGCTATACTACTGCTACAGCTACTGCTACGACTGCTCCTCCTCCTCCTCCTCCTCCTCCTCCTACCACTACTACTGCTACCGGGGTAGTTGTGTATACATCCTTGCTTTACGTCGACCTCGTAATTGGATGCTACTTGTGTAATTTCTCGATGTTTGTCTAAATCCAGAATACCTGCAAGCTGACTCTACTGCTACCACAGCCGCCATATCGAGGTCGGATGATTGCACCCTTCCCCTTTCTTACGACATCTATAACTTGAATGTAGTGATGTAGTGGAACTTACGTGAAATCCGACGTACAATACTTGACACTGGGAAGGGAAGAACAAAGTAGTGCGCTGTGCAATCACAGGCAGAGCCCTGCGCAACTCCGGCGCACTTCGAGAGGGCTTTGCAGACGCTTTGCTTGCATAGAAACACTATTGTTTGTTGGCGCTGGGGTGTGTTAGACTTACGCTTAGAGTTCGGCAAGTCGGAATGCAGAGCTTTGCACTCACCGCCAAACAGTATAACCAATTGATTAGGGTTCAGGATCAAAGGGCTCTAAGGGTGGGATGAAGGTAGGTGGGGTAATCCCCAAATAAGACTCCCTCATACAGTATACGAGGGATCCTTAATCCTACATACCTTCATCCCACCTTTTGAGGCCTCCAAGGCAACACCGCGGCTAGACCATTGGACCTGCAGCTGCAGCTTGAGGATGTCGAAGGCTCAAATATACTGTTACTTCACTTTAGCGTGAATTCTAAAACCCACACTTTCCCTAAGCCCTATACGGCTTAAAGCCGAAAACTCCTGAATACTTAGCCATATTACCTGACGAGCTCTCCCGCCCGAGGACGGTGAAGCCTCGAATCACTCCGGAGACTGCGACTTGCTTATCTCCAGCTACATACCCTGAGGTCATGGTTTTGGTTTGAGGTTTGTGTGAAACGGTTTTCTAAGATACATAGCGTTCAGGGTTGGGGTTCGGGGTTTGGCGATTAGGGTTTAGGGGTTGTTTAATTTGGCCCTGACTACAGGAAGCTTGTTTTAGTCTGCGTACAACATGACATGCTTAGGAGTTGGTCATGCTGGCCCCTAAACCTTAAACCCAGGTTCAAGCAAGAGGGTAATGCAGCATAAGTTCAAAGAGCCAGTCTGTCTCCAAGAAGCTTACAAACAACCCTAAACCCTCAATCCCAGACTCTAAACTCTAAACCCATGGAAGCCCTGAACCCTCAATGCTGTCAAGCCAGAGGCCCGGTTCTACGAGGACTTCGAGCGGAGCCTGCAGCCGGGGTGAACTTCCAAAAACGCACAGGAAAAGACGGATGTGCTGGGATCTCCCGTCTTGGACACATTCATCAACATCCGTTTGAAAAATAGTGTAGTGATCATAACAGGAATCGTTATAGCACTCGTAAGTAAACTAGTAATGATAACAATAAAGATACATATAAAATCATATTAGGAATCATCACGCTGACTATGTCCTCATCTCTCAACCTTCGACTATCAAGTCGGCGCGCCCTGATCGGCTCAGCTGCACACTTGCGTAGCCTGCATGAAAACCTCTAAGTCACCTGTTATAAACCGCAATAGAGGTTCAGAGCTTCCGGCTTATGGCTGAATTATGGGTTGGAGACTGACAGCTTAGGTTTAGGCTATGGGCTTCTTGAGAGGGTTGTGGACCGCAGACACCTTTGACTGCTTGAGGCTTCGTGGGTGTATTGGTGCCAGGCCACACTGACGTGCGGGACACGGGACGAAAAGTCTGAGCCGAATGGCACTAAGGTAAAAGCCAGAAAGTTGGAATATGATTATCCTAAACCCTTTATGGTAAATTACAAGGTATCCTACCCTGAAACCATATTCCAACTTTCTGGAGTTCCCTTTAATCTCCAGAAAAAAATCGGTGAGATGCCTCATCTCGAAGGGCTTCAGGGTCTAGGCTGGATTGGTGAGGCTCCGATATTTACCCGCCATGGTCGCCGGATATGCAAACGGTGGGGCCGACGCCACCAAAAATGGTCACAGGAATGTTGACATGAGATCTGCTCCCTGGCTTCAGATAGACGAGGGCTGATTTTTGTCAGGTGTGGGCTTTCAACTTCCACTATAGTATACCCCTAAAAGTTTGAAACCGGATTAAGGGCAATTAGTGCTGGGGTTGCCTGTACATTACCCTTATGGATTGAGGCTCTTGGGTTTCCAACTTTTAGGCTTCTACCGCAGGTCCTCGACTCTTGGCCCATATCCCTGGGCTCAGAGCCCAGACTAGATTCAGATTGGGGCAGCACGCTGTCCACATCTTCCGAGGACACAGTGACGCAGCCCACGCCGGGTATGCGCGAAGCGATGGCACATGCGGAGGCGCAGCCCCTTTTTTAAAGCCTGGCAAGCTCCAAACCCTCACCAAGAGCCATAAACGGCCCTAAACCTCATACCCTGGGCCCTAAACCTCAAAGAGCCACTGCACTTTAAAGAAGCAAAACCTCATAAATGTAAACGGCTGCATGGAGGTTCCTGACCCTACTTGGAGGATCAGGGGACTTAGTAAGTAGGCTTAGGGTTATAAGTAAGGTAACCGTAGCCACATCTACTTATAACCCTAACTAAGGTACTTATAACCCTACTTACTAAGTCCCATGATTCTCTAAGTAGGCTCCCCCGATCTCGCATTGCCGTTAGCAACCTTCAGTTGGAAAAGGGTCCAATCAAAAAAACGCCCATTCTCATCTACATCATGTGGGAGTTTCCGAAAAATTACGGGTACCTTATTTGGGTGGTCCTTATAATAAGGATCCTACTATTTAGGTTATACTATATTAGGGTCACCAATTTTCGCAAACTGCCATGTCTTTCCAAGCCTTTAAGGGGTTCAAGGGTTTATTCTTTCCAAGCCTTCTTCAGAGGCCAAAGGCTTGAGACTAGTCGTTTCTCGGGCTACGAGCAGCTTCTAGGGACCATCCCAAGAGCTCAAAGTCAAATGCTTGACGCAGCCGTATCCAAAAGCCAAAACTGGAAGCTGAAAGTAACCCGAAACTCCGAACCCGAAGGCTCCAGGACAGGATCTTCAATAAAACAGAGGCGCGTCCCCGAATAGTCTCCGAACCTATAGTCGAAGCCTTTTTTCATATACTTAAACTCAAAGCCCCGTAGATCAACCCGTCAAACCCTGTAAACAGCATTCTGGGAACCTTTCGACACCCTGAAGCTTCACCGCTTGAATCCGAAAGCATCCGCTGAGGCTTCTTTTCACTATGTATTTCGGTACTCCTACTGGTTCGGGTCCCTTAAATAGGGATCTACAAAGGTTTCTGTAAGGTTTTCTATAAGGGTAGCATTGTAGGTCACCAAAAAAGTATGGCACCCTTGTAAGTTTGGACCCTTGAACATCTTCCCTGTCAGAGTACGTCTCTTTTTCATAAGAACCCTGCAAGGGACTCTATCGCATGAACGCCCAATGCTTGGAGGATCAGTGAACTTTGAAGGTCATAAGTGGAGTCGTAAGGTTATGTGCAGCTGACACAATCAGTCTCCTGAGACTTCAAGCGGGACCCACTGCAGCCCAAAAACCTAAACCCTGAACCTGCACACCCGAAAACAGAAGCCCTAAACCCTTAACCCCAACCCTAGGGCCTCGACCCTAACACCTATATAACCTTTAAGCCGAAAAGCTAAGCCCAAGCCCTAAAGCCTAAACCCTAAACCTAAACCCCTGAACCCCCAAACCCCAAAACCTGAAGCCTCACACCCTAAGACCCGAAACCCGCTCGATCCGGAAGCCAGAGACCCCAAACCCCCTTAATCAAGGAACACACTTTAAAACTATATAGTAGAAGGATGTAGAAGGCCTACCATGTGATTCAGGAATATACCCTAAATCATTTTATCGTTCCTATTATCATTAAGGGATATTCCTTAATTAAGCTGTTTTGGAGTCTCTGGGAAGCCCGGAGGTTGGCGACGACGTCTTCGGCGACGACCCAACGGTGCAGCAACTCGAGAAGCGCGTGGCTGAGCTCTTAGGCCCGTGGGGTTTAGGGGTTTAGGGTTTAGAGTCTGGGGTTTAGGGCTTCGAGTTTAGATTTTCGGGTTTAGGGTTCAGGTTTTGAGTGTGAAGGGCCATGGTTTTAGATGGTTTGAGGTTGCTCGAAGGGTCGGGGGACAGGGTCATAGTAAGCAGCTATCCTTTAAAAACTACAAGTATCGTGATCCCTACTTATAACTCTACTTATTAACTACTCGCTACATGCCCTGATGCTCCGAAGCCGGGTTTAAGGGTTTGGGTCCAAGGTCTGGGTCTTTAGCGCTTGTGGGTCAGTTTTTTTGTGCTTTGGGTTTAGAGGGTTATGTGGTTGGGGATGGCTTTTGATTCGGGGTTCTGCTCTAAACCCACGAGAAGGATCCTTCTGTTTACAAGGCTAGTCTAGGATCCCGTGTTTTCTAGCTCTCTAACGTAAACTAGTCCTCTTGCATGTCAGATGTGCCGATGCCTGTCATGCGACCTATAAACCCTAAACCCTAGGCTCTGAACCCTAAACCCAAAACCCTCCATAAACCCTAAGCCCTCCCTAAACCCTAAGCCCTAAACATCACCACCGCAGGTAAGGAGGCCGGCCTCTTCGTGACTTCCGGGACGCAGGGCAACCTTCTCGCCGCCGCTTTGAGTTACATCCTTGGTTGAGGGTGTATAGCAGGGATTATAGGGCTTAGGGTTTATAGGGTTTAGGGTTTAGTGTATATTGGTTCTGCATCTTGGCCGAGGCCAGGTGTATAATGTAGAAGTCGGAACAGGAACAGTACTATTCTGAAAGGATCCTTTTACCAACCATAGTCTCTAGGCCCCAAACCCACATTCTAATTCATATTGCCCCATCAGATATTTTATACGTAAAGTTATCAGTATCGAAAGCCGAATTACGATCGCTGAGTCCCCCGACCCTCCAAGCAGATCCTCTACTCGGAACTCCAGAGTCTTCCTGCTCCTAAGGGTCCAGGTATCTCCTTAGGAGGGTCCGGAATGTCCAAGGGAGAGTCCTTGGGTCTCTTCGGGGTCTCAAAAACCCTCAATTTTGAGGTTCCCCAATTTGTTAGGACCCTTAGGGTAAACCAGACCATAGAGAACAAGCCGCCTAGCACGTAAGTCGTTCATCCTCCGCTCTTCCACTCCCCGACTTCGGATTTGGCTGCGACGGTTTGGGGCTTTACCTCCAGGGTTTTGCCATTTAGGGTTAGGCTTAATCTCTGAATCTAAACCCCTAAGCTGAACACCCTAAACTCTAAAGCCCAAACCCCAATCATTACCCCTATAGATCCCTTAAAGGAGCCCTTATAGTACCTTAAAGAGCCCCCAGTACCCCCCCCGAGATCCCCTAAACCAAACTCCTCGGAGCAGCTTTGGAAGATCGAAGGTCGGCACCCACTGTTCGGGACGAGGCGAGGAGGTGCTCTGTGGCAAGGACAGACTGAGGGTCAGAGGGTTTAGGGTTTATGATTGAGGGTTAGTAAGGTTTAGGGTTTAGGATTCAGTGTTTGAGGTTTTTGATTGAGGGTTTGAGGTTTGGGATTGAGGGTTCGGGGTTTAGGATTGAGAGTTTTGGGTTTAGGGATTGAGGGTCTAGGGTTGGGCTTGAGGGTTAGCTCGGATCTAAGTGGGGTTTAGGGTTTAGGGGCTTGCTTTGGGGCTCTACTTGGAGTGTCGGGGGACTCAGTAAGTAGGTAGTAAGTAGTGGCATAAGTACCCTATAAGGGACTATCATTGGCGTTATGATAGTTACAACTCTATAAAGTCTGCTTACTAGGCCCCCGGACCCTCCAAGTGGGATCTAAGTAGGGTTCAGTTTTTTGTGGTTGGTGTTTGCGCTACTCTAAGGTTCAGCCATTGTTTGAGGTGTCAGGCGGTGTTAGGTATGATTAGAGCGTCGTGACAGAATTCGCAGGCTTAGTCGAACTCTGTCTGTCTTGCTTTCTGTCGAGGAGCCCGCTTGGGACGTCCTGTCTTGTTTTGTGGGCTGTGTACATTGTCGTAGCGCGACGAGGAGTATAAGGACTGCCTCAGGGGAATTCAGAGTCTCATTTACCGGTCCGCTGATACAATGACCCCCAAAGAAAGCCACTTGTTCGTGAGGCCCCCTTGCTACTCTGTAAGGAGCGCCTCCACAGTCCAAACTTGGTAAGGATCTCAGAAAAGGACCTTGCAACAAACCAACAAAGACGTGACACCCCTTACTCCGTGTACAACTCCCTCACACTCCGTAGGCCCTCTACTCATCCTCTTCTGTTGTAATCTGAACCCAC